AGGGTTTAGGGCTCTGTTGAGAGTTGAGGGCACAACCTAAAGCCCAAGATCCTACAAAACCCAAGACATAAGCCAAGACCAAGCCCAAATCCCGAGAGCCTAAGACGCGAAACCCTGAACCCTATAAACCCTACCAACCCTATGAACCCTCAGGGTTTAGGGTTTAGGGTTTAGGTAGCATATGAGACGCAAAACTCAAGACACAAGATCCAAATCGCTGGTCATCCGAGGCTGCAAGAACCACAGATTATCCGCCCTATGTGGGTTTGGGGTTTTAGGGTCTTAAATTAGGGCCTTAGTGTTTAGGGGGCTTTAGGCTTTAGGTGCTTAGGGCTAGGGAGCCATGAGTCCACAACGCTTCAAACTTCAGATGTTGGATCTTTTTGTTTTCAGCCCTGCCACAGCTATGCTTAGTAGATGAGTCGTATTGCTTTTCATCCATGGCCTCAACCCTCAATGTTTAGGGTTTATGGTCCAGGATTTGGGGCCTCAGCTCCCTAATGTACTTCAGCTGGCACAGGACCCCTTCCATTCACAGCCGCAATCCAGAGAGTCCAATACACCTTCATGAAGACATATGTCCTACGTGTTGCTGGGATCTGAATATGAACCAACGGGTATGCTATTGCTCCATTAGGGAGTGGTTTGGGCTCCTCCTGACTGAGGTAAAATCCTTAGTAAGTGATATATACATTGTGGGGTCCTTCCTTCCTAAACCTGAAATCCTAGGGCCTGAAGACGCCTACATGAGACCAAGATCTCCACAGATTGATATGTGATTTATGGGGTCCTTCCCTCCCAAACCAGAAACCCCGAAGCCCTAGAACCTAAAACGGGTATTGGGCTCTCGGGGCAGGACAAGGTGGACGAAGTGGAGCGACACAGGGCAGAGGCCAAAGCGCATCCTCCGGGCGCCATGCGCCCGGCAACTCGGACCACAAGGATTGGCGTTTTAGGGTTTAGGGTTTAGGGGTTTAGGGCATAGGGTTCATTTTGGGGGCTTAGGGCTTGGGGTGTAGATTCCCTGTAAGGGCATTTGGGATGTATTGGGTTTAGGATACCGTATTGTTTATGGTTGAGGGGTTGGGTTTAGGGTACTATTTTGTTTTGGGCAGAGGGGTTGTGGGACTGGACAAGAAGATGGACACCACGAGATCGAAGCCGGTTTTTTTGGTGGAAGCAGGAGAAAAGGTAAGATACTGGGGCATCGGGATTATTAAGTGGCTATTGTGAGGAATCCATCCCTTATTCCCTGCCAGCGAGCGTAGGTTCAGGCATTGGGGGGCCGCCAAATTTTCAGGCGCGCTTCCATTCTGGGATGAGCCACACCCACCTCAAGTGAGAGAGGGGTTTATGTCGCACAAAACTGCGGGCTCTGTCGTTTCAGACAGAAGCCGCAGGTTTAACCGCGAAAGCTTTCAAAGTTTACGTAAGCAAAAATCAAGTACCAAGCAATCTCTTCGCCATAGTAGTGAACCACTTGACAACGAATCCTCAATGGAGAGACCTCAACTTGTTGGCAGATTACTTTCAAGGGGAAGACTACTTGTGTCAGGGAAATTACTTAGGAATCATAAGGGGTTAGGGATATGCGTGGAAATAGGATTTCGATGAAGGAATGCATACACAAGAACAGAAAGGAACTCTAATGTGAAGCGATCTTCCGTGTTTCCTTGCTAGCTATTGTGTTTATATGCGCGGTACAAGGGGAGGTGTGTCAAGCTATCCCACCAACGTCTAACCAGAATTGGGCACATTCTCAATTTCCAGGTGTTTGCTGTTTTCCAAGGTCTGCAGGAATTTACATACCGCTGTTGAAAAGAATGTTGGAAACGATAGAACAGTTGCTACATGTTGCTACATAATCAAAAAAAGGCACATATTCCGAGCGGTGTTAGTAGTAGGGTTTAGGGGGAAGAAGGATACTGAACGGGACATATTCTTAGCAACCACAAATACCCTGCACTAACCTTCTAGAACTACCAGAAGACTTGGCAGAACACCTAATTAAGCTCTTTGCGAAGCGTTCGCATTCAGCTTTGGTTACCAACAAGCCCCTCAGCCCCAGCCGTCGACCCAACTCAGAGCTCTTCAGTCGCAATCGCTAGACTCTGTAGGATTTTCTCAACAAAGGGATATTTTCGGGGCCTTGATGAGATATGAGGAATGTGTGAGGATGATGGAGGTCCTGCGCGGGAATTATACATGGATTGGTTTGAGAAATTCCTACGTGCTAGGTTTCTCTATCAACTTTTCCGGGTAGATCCCAGACCTTTAAAATGGGCCGGAGATCTCCATGGTATAGCCGACAGTTTTTGAGCCACCGAAGAGAACTTGAGCAGTATTTTATTTGGGGATATTATGGTACCCAATATAGAGTAAGATTGCATCCTCCTTTTTGGGGTATAGTATTTTATATAAGTGATATAATCTTACTGGGTTTAACCACAAGAAAAACGCTACTCATATAACCCTATAATATAGTAGCTTCCATTTTCTTTTCCATTATCCCCTATATAGCCCCTATATAACCCTAGAACCAAGGAAAAACACTACTCAATGATTTCACCCCAATATACCTAGAAACAACGAAGGCTCCCCGGTCGACGCCGGCTCTGGAGGATGCTCCAAGAATGCCTTTGCCCAATTGGATTTGTAGTCCCCCCTTGTTGAGGGTTAGGGTTTAGGGTTTAGGGTTTAGGCCCACTTGGATTTCCCATTCTAGGGGTAGTCCCCCTTAAGTAGATATAGGGGTTATAGGGGTTGTATTGGGATAATGGAGAAGAAAATGGAAACTACTATTGAGGGTTTAGGGTTGAGGGGATTATAGTCCCCCTTAAGTAGATAGAATATGGCTTCGGGTATATTAGAATAAGGCCCCATATACCCCATGTTCTATCTACTTAAGGGTGACTGTAGGGCTTTGGGTTGGAATTAAGGGGCTTTGGGATCAAGGCATTAGGATTTAAATTTAGGGATGAGGGTTTGGGGTGTAAGGTTCAGAGCTTCGAATGTAGGGCGTAGGATATAGGGAGCTGTGGCTTTATTCACTTGCGGTGAGCCAGCAAAGAGGCAAGCCAAAAGGTATCCTGCGGATTGTCTTAGGCCGCTTTGATGGAAGAAACCCTGGACCACTTTACTTTAAGTACCGCTTGATCCTAAACCCGGAAAAACCCTAAATACCAGACATGCAACAGCCAGTGAAGGCTCAGTAGCCCATGATTGCCTGCATCAGCAAGTGGCTTCCTTATCTTATCCCCTTGGCTTCCCCCGTGATGGCCTGGCGGTCCCTCATTTTTACCATACGCTGTGCACCTCGGAGACGGTTCCTGGTTTAGTCTTTGCAATTTGCTTTGGAGTTGTTCAGGGCTTGCAATAGAATAGCTTCCAAGACTAGATTCCCTCTTAATAACCACCCAGTAACATGTAGCCCCTATTATGAGGAGCCTGAAAGGAAACCCCGACTCTGTGGATAACCCATGTGCGTCTTTCTCAACCCAGGCTTGTTTGGACTGCCTTCACTGTTAGGATTCGGATGACGTAATTGTGTGAGCACGGAGGGGACCTGAATTTGAGAGATATGCATACGGGGACTTGACATATGGTCTTCCCGGTTTTTGTGCCGCCGGTTGAGGAAGGTTCCCAACGTGTTGGCTTACGGTTCTGTGGGACGTTGTTGCAAGATACGGGGGCCCCGGTCATGTGAGAGTCCTCGAACGAGTTACATAGCTTTTGCCGGCCTGCTTGGGCATCAGCCAGCACAACGTTCTGGCAAGTTGGCAACATAGATTAAGCAACACTGGCTGTTTCAATGAGCAATCTGGTTGTATGTGATGTCTTACAGTCCTGCGAGCGAGCAGGACACCCTTAATTTGTCCTCCAGTGATTGATGCTCTCTGGGTGGAAAATCGCAGATCCCAAGTTGCCGCGGAGCTTTCTGAATAGCGATCACTTAGTGGCAGCTATCAGACAAGTAGCGACATGTGTAAGAACAGCAGATTTAGCAATAGTAGAGAGACAAAAAGAGAGAGAGAGAGAGAGATATATATATATATATGTGTGTGTATAAATGCGGGCCCTGCTTTTCTAGTAGAGAAGTAGTGCCAGTGGTTGTAGTCTAAAAGTCGCCAAATTGAAGGTTGTCAACATGATGGTCCTACCTTGGGTTTCCATTACAAGAGGATGGCTAAATGTAGGGTACCCCCAGAAAGGATCAGAATTTTGACGGCCCACCTACAGTTTCAGCCTTGAGGAGGACGAGCCGCCAGCACCGCCAGCGGACTTCACGGCTTCCCAGCAGCCCTTGGATCTCAGGGGCTCAAAAGCTGGCATGAAGGATGGTCGGCTAAGGGTTTAGGGCTTAGGATTTAGGATCCCTGTTGCAAACTCCATGGTGTTAGGGGCTTATTCCCATACCCCAGCTTGTGAGCGCTCTCAGGATCAGAGATTTGGGAGTTTACAGGGCTGATGCAAAGGATTATCCGCTTGGATCTGGGAGTTTGAGGTTTAGGATTTGGAGTTTCACCAAATATGCCCACTCTAAGCCCTGTTAGGAACCCTAAAACCCCATTATCTTCCCCTTCCGCTGCTAGGCTCCAAAATGTACTCCAGGGCTTCGAACTTCCATCATATCGATCAGTTCCAGCGTGATGTGTATTGGGTCAGGCGGAACTTGGCATTGGGCTCGAGACATCACAGCCCCGCCTCAGCATATGGCTTTGGTTTTAGGATTGTCGGGTTTGTCCAGAAGTACTTGGGGGCTCGCAAATGTTGCAAAGTTGGGTATGATCTGTCTGTAGGATGAATATATGACTAGCACGTTTGCCACACTTATAATTAATTCAGTGTACAGCGACGAAAGAGCCGCAAATACTGCTAGGGGGTCTGCTGCTTTCGCCAGCATGGCATCTTCTCCAGTGCAACGTTTGCATGCAGAGCTGGTTCGCATCGCTGGCAGCACGCGGGCAAAGGTAGGGATTGCTGTCAAAACGCTTCGCAACATGGCTTTGTCCGATCCGTTCACAGGGCCGCGGGTCGATTTGGAGATCGTGACCCCGGAAGATGCATCAACAGCTCTGCCAGAGCGTCGCTTCGCCATGGCATCAACTTTCAAGATTCCCCTAGCGCTATCAGTTCTGCAGCTGGTGGATGCTGGCCGGATTTCTTTGGAAGAGAAAGTCGTGCTTGACGCCTATGATGTGCGGCCGGGCACGGGGGTACTGACTGCAACACTGCTAGAGCAGTTGAAGGAGGTATCTCGGGACCAGATTCAAGTCGAATATTCTTTATACCAGCTGCTAGAGAAGGCACTCAACGACTCTGACAATACAGCCACAGACTATCTTTTGGATCGTGTGGTTGGCGGACCTTCCGTGGTTTTTGCTCACATGGAAAGGCTAGGCCTTAGTGAGATCCGCGTCGCCAGGAGCTGCTTGGAACATCTTCGTGACCGTTGCGGCATCCGATGTCCTATGCCCAGCAGGTGGGGTTTATTGAAACGTGGAGTCCCATTTCCTCGAGGGCCTGTGTAGAAGGAATGCTCCAGTTTGGCTTGTAAATTGTAAGTTGTAGCTTTGAGGCCCCTCGTTTTTTCGAACTTCCAGGTCCTCAGAATCCGAGATGGACATGGTGGACTTTGTTGCCATGTTGGAAGGGCGCATGGAGATTCAGCCGCTCTCAGTTTGTTGCCAAGCAGATTGCAACTTTGATGCAGATCCACGTGACACAACAACTCCTGGAGCTATGACAGCTCTGTTGGAAAAGATCTGGAGTCGGGAAGCAGGGATTTCGGATGCATCAACCCAACTGTTGCTAGAGATTATGGGCAACTGCCGGACAGGGCTGAAACGACTCCGGGGCCGCTTACCATGCTATGGGACTGATGTGATAGAAGTTCAGCACAAGACAGGGTCCTTGGGAGGGCGCGCCAATGATGTGGGATTTGTGCATCTCCCAAACGGCCGTGCCTTTGCCATCAGTTGCTACACCAAGGGGCTTGCGAACTTCAAAGATCAAAGCACAACAGGCGAGTTGTATGCGGACCGAGAGCGGGTCATCGCGGACATGGCTCGAGCATGCTACGACTTCCACTTATTCGCTTCCGGCTGAGGCACCATCGGCTCAAAGAAGGAACAACATGTCAGGTTTGGTTCGAGAAGCCGCGCATGAAAATCAGAGGCATATGGGACATTTGTCTTGCATTGGGATATTCACCCCAGGCTCTGGTCCTTTGGTTTCATGTCGTGCTTCGAGGATATTACGAAGGTAGAGAGGGACGGTAGTATGGTCTAACTTTGCTATACTCCAAGTGCTTTCCACTTCAAATATTCGCAGTAGAGTCGTAGGGCCAAGCCCTGAAGGAAAGTGTCAGCTCCCATGATCGATGTAGGCAAGACAAGAATCGCTTTTCAGGGAAGGCAGGCTAACAGCTAGTCTCACAATGTGAGCATGCTCAAATATTGGTGACAAGAGGTTCAGTGCCATGTTTTTTCGACTCCAGTCTCTACACAAACAATTATCTAATTCATCTATTGAAAGCCATTGAAGACCTGGGAGGCGGCTTTAAATCCTGAGAAGAACATGTCCTGCCAACAGGAAGTTCAGCAGCCCTAATTTGGGGCTGGGGTCATTCTAAGCCAGGAACAGCAATCTCGGTACACTCTGAAGCAACGTGTTTTAATATTGCTTGCCAGAGCCGTGCCAGGTGGTATGTACCAGCACACATCTCATACACGTACGCTCGGAGGCTCTTTACTGGGTTGCTGTTAAGGAACTTAAGTTAAGTTACCATAATGGGTATATATAGTAAATAATAGGGTGTCCCCAATATAGTAACTTAATTTAAGTTCCTTAACAGCAACCCAGTAAC